ACGGAGCTTCCGAACCCTCCACCCTAAACCCCTAAATCCTAACTAAGCCCAAAAGCCCTAAGCCTTACCCATCCAACCCCTAAATCCTAAGCCCAAAACCCTAAGCCCTACCCATCCAACCCCCAAATCCTAAACCCCAAACACGGTTTAGGTTCTAGGGTTTAGGGTTTACAGGTTTACCCATAGGCCCGAAAGTAGTTCCTTTTAGGGGTTACCTTATAGGCTTCTAAATATCAACCCTAAAAAGGAACTAGTTTAGGGCCTATGGGTAAACCCCTAAACCCTAAATCCTAGAACCTAAACCGTGTTTTGCGTTTAGGGTTTAGGGTTTAGGGTTTAGGGGTGTAGGGTTGAACCCGCAGCCCAAGAAGAAACGCGCGCAGGTCAAGGCTGGATTTGAGCATGGCCTCGCCATGGTCCAGGTTCGGTTAGCCCTTGCTTAAAGGGTGGTTTTGGGGTTTTGGGTTTAGGGCTTATGGGGTTTAGGTTTATGGGGTTTTGGGATTATGGAGTTTAGGGGGTTCGGAGCCCTTGCTTAAAGGGTTGGTTCTGGGTTTAGGGTTTAGGATTTATGGGGTTTAGAGTTTATGGAGTTCGGAGCCCTTGGCTTAAAGGGTGGTTCTGGGTTTAGGGTTGATGGGGTTTGGGGCTTATAGGGCTTAGGTGGTTTAGGGCTTACGGGTTTAGGGGTTTAGGGCTTAGGGGTGTAGGGCGGTTTAGGGGTTTAGGGTTTAGGGCTTAGGGGTTGAGGGTTTGAATTGAAGGTGGTTCTGGGGTTGTTGTTTCAAGTATCCTTGAAGGATTCCAAGGAAATGGGGGACATTCATTGCCATGTAGCATGAATAATCATCAGCGTTATCCCGCTGGGTTTATAAATATTTACAGAAGAAGCGCAGCGAACATATTGTTTCAGGGATTGGGTGTCGGGACTCAGAAGGTTTTGGGCTTTGAATTTTAGTGCCACCTTTGGGAGGGCTCGTTTAGGCCGACATCGAGATCGCCTGTCCTTCATCGTGGTTTAGGGCTTAGACTCTGAATGATGTTATGATTCGTCCTTCAACAGCATGCCCCAAGCCCTTGAAGCGACATGTCGCCAAATCCCGAGGCCCTTAACACGAAACCCTAGAGGCCGGAATACACTCCCCAGCAGCTAAACCCTATAATCCCTAAGCCATGCGGTTGATGATAGACGGTAATGCAATAGGTATATGAATATGAACGGCCTGAGGGAACGCTCCCACAACTACCTCACGCGCTTGCAACGAACAAATCCGTAGCTTATGCTCGGTGGCAAGGGCTCGTGGGGTTCGGTCGTATAACGTATACATGAGGAGGTCCCAGCAGTGGTAACGACTCCCTGTAGCCATCCAAGTGGCAGCCTTGAGAGTAGGCTTGCAAGCCTCCCTATCTTCATCTTGTAGCGTTCAAGCTGGTTGCTTTCCTTGCAAATGTTGCAAAGTGCTCCTGTTGCGGTTAGTACTAGCCTGATGGGTTGTTGGTGGGAGGAGCTGGCTATGTACATGGATCACGTTCATTTGACGGAATACCACCACGCTGACCATAAGAGGCACGGGATGGTTCGTCCGGGTAACTAGGCTTGGTCCTTTACCCAGAGGCTCCACATATAGTACCATTATGGAACTAGATCCCAAAAGACCATCCTTGCTAAGGTTTTAGGGGCCTAGTTCCATAATGGTACTATATCTGGAGCCTCTGGGTTACAGTCAACTTGGCCCTTCCCGGCAGTCATGCATAGCACGGATGGTCGCTCCGGAAAGCTGCTGCCGTGGGCTTAGGGTTTAGGGTTTAGGGTTTAGGGTTTAGGGTTTAGGGTTTAGGCAAACTGGAGGGCTTCGTCGATTGGTGCTTGCTTACCGGCAGGAATATTTACGCCATGAAGGTTTAGGGTTTAGGGTTTAGGGTTTAGGGTTTAGGGATGGTTGAGCTGGTCATCCACGTGAAAGGATGCCTGGACTACATGTTCGTGTTGTGGCCAGGCAAATATCACGAGCTGAAGTTGGACACCCCCTTTCCATGTTTTGCTGCAGAGCACCCTGGGGCTTTGAGTGGCCCACTGACTTTGAGTTTTGGAATCGGGGCGCGCACCAGAGGAATCAACCCTAAACCCTAAACCCTAAAACCCTAAACCCTAAAACCCTAAACCCGTGTTCTGCGATGGTTGTCGTCGTGGGCGGGGGGTCTTCTAGCAGCTTGGGAGCAGGTCGACAGTTCACGTTCAACAATCCCAGAACCCTGAACCAGTTTATATGTAAACCATTACAAACCCTAAACCCTGAAACAGTGCAAATGCCGTACACCATAAACCCTCAAACCACAAACCTTATAAACCCTAACATAGAGATAAGCGTAAACTCTAAACCCCTAAACCCTAAACCCTAAACCCTAAACCCTAAACCATAGGTTCCAGAGCTCGAGGCCCTTAGCAACTCTTGAGCCCCAAGTCTCCGATGGGTTGTGTCGTTTGTGGCCTGAACCCTGGTTCCCTAAACCTGGGGTTTAGGGTTTAGGGTTTAGGGTTTAGGGTTTAGGGTTTAGCCTAAAGTCCTAAACATGAACCCTAATCCGTACATCCTACACCCCGAATCCAAAACCTAAACCCTCAAATCCTAAACCCTCACTCCTGAATCCTAAAACCCGAATCCTCAACCCTAAAGCTTGAAGCCCAACGCCTTAAACCGTCGTTTTCTTCTCCGTTCTCGTGGCAGGAGAAAGCTCAGGCTGGCAGCTCGGCCGCAGAGACCAAGTCCAGGGTTCAGGGCCAAAGTCTCCTGGAACTTCATGATGGCCCTTAAAATAAAGCTTGGGGTTTAGGGGTTAGGGTTTAGGGTTAAAAAGGGTTTAGGGCTTAGGGTTTAGGGTTTAGGGTTTAGGGGTTTATGGGTTTATTGGTTTCGGGTTTGGGGTCTAGGGATTTAGGGTTGCGCAGGGTCTTTTAGTGGTTTCTCGAGGTGTTTTTAGGGTTTTACTACGGGTTCTTTCCCATTAAAGGGTTGATGAGGTTGAGGGGGTTTACATCTATGCAGACTTTCTATTGTAAGGGCTTCGTGACAGTTCTCGGTAGAAATTAGCCATGGTGGGGGGGGAGGTTCTGTATGGTAGCTCTCCCTGCAGTAGCTAGAAAGCAGGCTCCATTTTACTTAGGATGTACGAAAGTGCCCTCTCACCGTTCCTTCCTTCAAAAGGAAGAACAGTTAAGGCTGCAGTGAGTTTAAGATTCAGGGATTTTAGGTTCAAGGGTTGAGAGGCTAAGTCTCCAGGCACTACAGAGCAGCCGTTAAGCTCTTTAGTCTAGTACAACCTTTGGCCACACTTATAGTGCATACATATCATATTTTTCGTAGGTCTTGTAGGAGTTGGGTAGTTCCTAGGGATGCGCAGGATTTGAGAAAGGGCTGAGAGGGCTCCGGGACCAAGGTTAACGTAGAGGCTCACGGGATGCTTCGTGGTAGTAAGGTAATCAATGATGCCATACCCCGGAGAACCCAAATTTGCAGGTTATAGCCATGTCTACCCTAAGCCCGACACCCTACACACTTTGTCCATCACCTACTTACCCAATACCACCAGCCTTTAAAACGGGTCGACGGCTTCCGGAAATCCCAGACTCTAGACCCCAATGACAATGGTCTGATGCCTAACCCCTACACCTTATGTTCCTAAGCCCTATAAACTCTAAGCTTTAAGCCCTAAACCGCGTAAGATCTTAAACCCGAAAGCCTAAAGATTGAAAACCTTCTGAGTCTGCTACCAAGAATTTAAACAGTTTAGGGTTTAGGGGGAATACAAATTCTTTAGCGGCTTTGCGATCCCAGCTCGGAGGTTACCGGCTGGCTTTTGGGTTTAGGGCCCGCTATAGCTGGAGCACCGACAGTGACCCGTTGTTCCTCACCAGCTTGATCATACTATAGAAAACCCCTAAACCCTAAACCCTAAACCCTAAACCCTAAACCATTAAGAAACCCTCAGAGTTTAGGTCCGAAGCCCAGGCTACGAGGCCACTCGGGAGCGCGTCAGCACGGCGCGAGCGGGGCAGGAGCTCCTCGATAAAGGCAGGTTTAGGGGTTTAGGGATTTTAGGGTTTAGGGATTTAGGGTTTAGGGTTTAGGGTTTAGGGATTTAGGGATTTAGGGTTTAAGGGTTTAGGCTTTAGGGCTTAGGATTTAGGGCTGGTTCGATCAGTTTGAGCGAGTGTGGGGTTTAGGGTTTAGGACCAGGTAGGGATGTAAAAGGAGTCATACGGGATCTATTGGGTTGAGGGTTTAGGGATTTGTAGGGACTTAGGGTGTTTAACAAGATTGTAAGTGATTCAGGTGGAATTTGAGGTGCTGAAAGTACGGGTTTCGGGTTTGAGGTATTCCTTTATAATATAGGGACCTTCACAATCGGAATTTGGTTTTGGGGTCTGCTAGGGCACTAGGGTTTCTTATACGGGTTCCAGAAGGGATTCATAAGCTTTAAGAGGGATTCAGGGTCCCCAGGGCCCAAGAGCTAGGTTTTGGGGCTTAGGATAGTAGTTTTCAGGATCAACGTTTGGGAGTGCATCCTACTAGGTATTTAGATCCTCATTGCACGTAATCCAGGGGTTTCACCAAGCAGGAATAGTTTATGCCCCCTTATCGTCCCTATAGCCCAAACCCCTCTTCTAATTACTCAGGCGTCTATATCTTTTGTGTGACTCTACAACAACTACTTCTGGAGTATTGGGCCCATCGGGACAGATGCGACACCTTGAAGTGGATACGAAATTAGGCGCTGAAGGTGTTAGTTAAGGAGTTATCTGAAAAGACTGCTACGCCAATACGGTTCCTGAGCTTTTTGAGCCTCGTGGTAATTCGTGGAGATGGCAAGCGACCGAGTTCGCTTCAAGAAGGCCGTGGCGGCCGGCTGGGCTGAGGCACGGTGTCCGAACCAACCTAAGTTCCAGCAAAGTCTCGAACTTGGCCCTGCTGCACTTTCAATTTGTCTTGACACTCGCACAGGATGTGAGCGGTAGCGTCCGCGAAGTAAAAATCAAGATTGTCAACGAGAAGTACGAGGTTTCCCGGCGATTGCTGGCATTGACCGACATCAAAGGCTGCAAGACAAGTTTGGGAAAGGTCGGCCAGATCAAAGACACACTGAACGATGTTTTCGAAGAGGACACCGACCGAGCTGCGTTCGCAAGGCTCTTCCTCTCCTTCTCTGCGGATGGAGAGAAAGCAGAGCTCCTCACGGGCGACTTCGCAAAAGTTCCTTGAATATGTTTGGCGATCGAGGGTAGTCAATAATGAATAATACATAGTCTACCTAAATAGTAACACTAGTCCTGAGAACACATTCGTACCGGGGTCGGGAAACATAGGAATAAATATCCGCTTCTAGTCCCTATATATCGTTCTCGAGTATGATAAATCCCCACAGCCTATTCTAATTGATAAGAACCCTGTGTCAACCCTAGCAAGCCCTACGAAGCCCTTAAAGGAACCTTTAAAGTAACACTGTAAACAACAACCCCAAGCCCTAAACCCTGAACCCTAAACCCTAAACCCTAAACCCTAAATTGGAGGGGCACCAAAGGTACG